ATAATCTATTCGACGAATCAATCTTTTAACTGCTATTTTGCTGAGTTTAAATATTATATAGGTCAGAGGAAACGAATAGGCAGACTCGCAGTTATTCTCATGGATAGATTTTACGCGTAATACGTTGATGCATTGAATTTTAGTACTACCTTTGATAGTGTTTTGTTCACGTATTTTACAATCACTGTAGTTGAACACAAAGATAATAAAAATTACTATTGAAAAAATTCACAAATGTCGCACTTGGGTACTATAATATGAATAATAAAAACCGATAAATAAATGTATATATTTTTTAATTATTATATAAGTGTTTAGTTTATGTATAATTATTATATAAGTTATTCACTTTTTATCCGGAACTTTTTGTAGAACGTGCGTTTGACCCATATTTATCCCGGCCAGACCACCGATTGGACTCAAATGCAAAGCTTGTTGGTATTCAGGGACGGCCACTAGACAGCGCTTTGACCACTGAAAGCGACTTTACGGGTGTTACCCTGACAACACGCACACGCAGGCGATTGCTAGTGTCTGATGGTTTATAAAGAGCAAACCTATAAAAAAAAAAGGTCAGTTCGGTACACACCCCATACACCTCTTTAGCTGTGTAGTTTGCAATTTTTCATATATTTTAATATCTTATTACATAATCTTATCTCATAATAATTTTACTACGAGCAACTTTGTACCTATATAGAGGAAAATGAAAGTAATCTTAACTATACATACAAAATTGTTCGGTTAATCAGTTCTAAATTATAACTTTTATAGTTATCCACTTATTACCTATTACTTATATGTATACCTACGACCTACCTAAATTGGATTCCTTTATACTTACACTTTACAGCCTACTGTAGGTTACAAAAAAAATCAAAAGTTGATTAATTCTATGTTTCTTTAACGAAGGTATTTAGTTTAATGAGTGTTTAAACATTGTAACAGTTTAATTTTAAGACTAGAAGAGTCAAGCGCATTACCTTTTWATAAACATTTTTATAGAATTAAATAATATGAGCATTAAATTTCAAGACTAGATTGTCGGCATACCATTTTATTACCTCAAAACAATAAAAACTGAGTATAGATATTAATATTATGCTGTGTTGTAATTTTATTGTTTATCAAATATGAATATAAACATTTATGTTAATTGCAAATTATGGTTCCAAGAATCAATTCTAAAAGTTTTTATAATTCAAAGATTTTGAATGATACGGTAAATAAAAATTACTAAATAATTTAATTTTCAACCTTTCTTTTACCAACCTTTTTTTAAAATCTTTTATGCTTCTAGACTCTAGTACCATATTTTTTTCTTAAAATGCCTAGTATATTAAAAAAAATATGTTAGAATCTAATCAGGATAAACTACAAAATAGGGGAAATGGTAATATCAACAGCACAACACATAAAATCATAAAATCGACAAGATCGATTTCGTTATTTTTTTTCCATTATTCAAAAACAAATAGCTGTAGATACTTAACACTTTTTCCAACTATTTATAGATATTATAATTTTCTAGAAAACTATTTTAACCCTTTTGTACTATTTTTATAGCCATTCAAAATTTTATTTTTTCCATAAATGTTAGTAAAATTATGTTCGGCGAAAAAGCTTGAACATTTTTAACCGATTTAGGTCTAAGTCGATTTGACAGATCATAACGATATTCATCAAAAGTTGTTCTAATAGCAATAAAAATATTAATTAATAAACTTGAAAAAAAATCATCAAATTCGCGAATTGTCGCTAACTGTATTATACTTTCATGCAATTTTTCATTTTATTACCTTAAGTTTAAAAATGAAATATAAGGGATTTAATTCATAAGTTTTTTTTATGTTAACCTAAAAATATTTATTATTATTTATGCATACATTTTTTGAAGGTATTTTTAAGTTCAAATTTGGCGATATATATACTACTGACCTCATCCATTTAATATTATGATAAATGTTGAAAAAAGTTGTATGGTTTTGTTGGCGGAGGGAGGAAATAACTTATCGGTATTTAATTTTGGGGCCTGCACCTTTAGAAGATAAAATAATCGCACATTATGCATCCACGGAATTATGAGTTTTCAAATCTTTTCACGTTTTTCAATAATCATTTAAACATAGCTCAGTACCTAATAATAGAGAAATTTGTTTCATAATACTAGGAGTTTAAATAATTTTTATTTATTTTTTTAAATTTTAATATTTAGCTTTTTTCACATAGTTTATATGCAAATTTTGTTAAATTTCTATATACGAGTAATTACATTTTTCACGTATTGGGCAGTTAGTGTTTACAATGTTTACTATAACACTGTAACCTATGTTACAGTCGTTCCCAAATCATAAAAAAAATAAAAAAAAATTTAACTGAAGTCTGAAGTATTTTTGAAGTTTTATACCTCAAATAAAACTTAAAAATACTTCAAGAGACAAGAAAAATTCGATGTATTGAGATTTTCTACTTATCAAGACTTATAAGAACTTTCTGCTTTTATATTTTTTATATTTTACTGATTTTAGGGAAAAATCGATTAAAATGATAATATGCCACTTGATAATTTATCAAATAATTTAATGATGGAACAATCATTGCTCATTTAAATTCGAAAATAATCGAAAAATTTAATTCRTACGATGCAATATTGTTCATATTTATTTGAGAGTTTAATAATTATTGAAAAATAAATACAAATGCATTTATAGTTTATACACAATATTTTTTTTGTTCTGCTTAAAAGCAATAGTTTAAACAATTAAAAGTATCTAGTAAGGCTGAAAAATAAATACTTGATGCTTGATTGATAGAACAAAAATTAATAAAGTGATATATTTKATTTGTAGGTATATGTTWTTAAGTGTAGGTACATCAGGAAGTGGTCAGCGTATAAGACATTAAGTCCATTAAGACAGTTGGTAATTTGGTATTACCATGTAGGTAGTTACTCTACACATAGATTGTAATTTAAAAACCATTCACTAGGAAACTAAATGCATAACAAATTTTACAGCAGTATTTTCATAAAAAAAACACTCATCAAGAACTTATTATATACCCAATAATTTCAGTTAGCCCTGACAAGGCAGAGATTTATTATATTGAAATAAAAATAATGAAACTTAAAAAAAATATATATTAAATTATTAAACTTCTTAATCACTAGAATATAGCTAGTCTACTTAGGTTATTATTGTTTATCAATGGCCCGTGTTGCCGCAGAAATTTTTTGTTAATTAAAAATACATAAATAAAATACAATAAAGTTTTACAATTTGGCTTTAACAAGTTAAAAATTAAGTTTGCTCTTCTAATATATATATATACCTGTCTTAAACACTTATACACGGAAAAAATTCTGGCGGCTAGCCTGTTATAAAAAGTTATAGTAAATGGTAGGATGAATACATTTTTGCCAAAAACTATTATAATAATTATAGTCATAAATAGCCCATTTTTTTTTTTTTTTTTTTGTAAAGGGGCAGAAGTATATATAAAACTGTATAGTTTATACCAAATGTAAATTCATTATGCGTGTCTGTAATCCGTGTTAATATATTCGTTATATATATATATTATACTCATGCTTTTATTATAAAACAATATAATTAAAATCTGTCTTCTATCCATGATAAATTATATTAGATACTATACAGTAAGTAAAAATTATGCTAAAAGTTGACGTGTTATGTTTGAGAGAAGGTAGCGTCCAGTGACACCACAAAGTACAAAACTCATCATTAAGGCACGATTTTTAATTAAATTATTTTTTCATCAACTTTTTATTTTGGACTCTTATTGTCAGTTATCTCTAGTGATGTTATAGGCGGCAAGAGGGTGTGTAATAATATATCTATACTTACTACTTATTTTAAATGAAGTCATAAAACTCGAATAGTGGAGAAAATAAGGAGAACATAATATAATATGATTAATATRTGGGTATGGGGTACAGGGTCAGGTATTTGAGTGGTACCTGTAACCAGTGGCGTAGCCAGGGCAAGGACTGAGGGGGCTGCAGCCCCCCCCACCGAAATGTTAATAAAATTTACAAACTTATTTTAATGTTCTACAATATTCACTCAAAAAGTCTTAAATTGTATTTTACTAATTTTAAATTGTCATCTTTATTTTGTTAGTTTTCTATAGCTTCGGCCGTGCTAGTAGGTATTTAATGCACCGCTGGGTAAAAAATTGATCAGCCCCCCCGAAAAAAATCCTGACTACGCCGCTGCCTGTAACCAGCTATCATGTGTCATATTCACATATTCATATCTTCGTATGGAGTATAGGACTATATAGTTAAGGTTTGGCAATATTTTTAAGTTTCAAATTTTTAAATAATAAATAGTACTATCATCTATATTCTAATAACAAGTAGGTACCTAATTGAAAAATCAATATTGTAATATACCTATCATTTTATAGATTTACATTTAACTCATTTAAGTGACGACTAATTACAATTTTTGATGAATGATGATATAAATCTTGATATTGAGATAACTGAAGTACCTATAAATAATACTTTTCGACAATAACTAATAATTTTTATTGTATTATAGACAAATACAATACAAATATTGAAATATATCGATTTTTTCTATCAGATACATCAAAATAAATTTATAGATTTTAATTTCTAATACTAGCGTGAAGCGTGATCAGCAGTTAATAATTATTATACCTTCGATAATCGTTCACACAATATAGATACATTTTAATATTTTATCTACATCATGAAACGTTATTCATATATCGTCATCACGATTTAAGATATACCTTAAATTTAAGATATATCTTAAATCGTGATCGTCATTCGGAAATCGTTATTTATATGTCTATCCGTCTATCGTTTTAACAAAATAAAATAACCTATCATTTTTTATCAATAAAACTATCATGTTTTTCTTTTTATCAATATTAGCTAGTAGGTTATCAACGACCGACGTCAAAACCACAACAAAAACAGAATTTAAAAAAAAAAATAGGTAGCTTGTAATTATTTATTTTAGCAATATTAAGCAATACCTGAGACTTACATATGTATTTATCGATTTAGTTTCGAGTACGCAATTAAGTTGTTTGTGTAACAAATATTACCTATTCAAAGAATGACATAATCACTAATTTTATGTCATTTTTTCGTTCAGTTTATCGTCTGTACAGCACAATGAGCAAGCCTCAAGTCGTTTTCGTCCTTGGAGGCCCAGGTGCAGGTAAGGGTACGCAATGTTCCAACATAGTATCCAAATTTGGATTTGTTCACCTGTCTGCTGGCGACCTGTTACGCGCTGAACGTAGTAAACCTGACAGTATGTTTGGAGAATTAATTGACACTCATATCAAGAATGGTACAATTGTCCCAGTAGAAATCACATGTCAACTTATTCAAAATGCGATGGAAGCATCAGCAGCCAATCGATTTCTGATTGATGGATTTCCACGAAATAAAGACAATATGATTGGCTGGGATACCACAATTGGAGACAAAGTTGATCTTTTATTTGTACTGTTTCTAGATTGTCCAGAAAATGTATGTATGATATGCAGTATTAAGTAGTTTAGATAGAAGGCTAGTTTTACTGAAAAATGTGTGACAAAATTAACTTTTATTTTATTTTAATAGGTATGCATAGAACGATGCATGAAAAGAGGTGCTGCTGGAAGTGGCCGTGCTGATGATAATTTASAAAGTCTAAAAAAGAGGATTGTTACATTTGTGAATGAYTCTATGCCGATCATAGAATATTTTAAAGAGAAAAATTTAGTGAAAAGAGTTGAAGCTGGAAAAAATGTTGAAGATGTATGGTCCGATATTATTGAATTATTCAAAAACATTTGAATAGAGAAACAAAATTTGCATTTAACTTATTAGACAATTTCCTAAATATGGTAGATTAAATTATTTTTATTCTTGCACTGTCCCAACAAAAGTTATTATTTTAAAATATGTATACCAGTGATAGAAGATATTGAGATTAGTGTTTAATCGGTTTTTTATTTATTTATTGAATGATCCAATAAAAACACAATAACATATAACATTATTTATAATTATATTGAATGTTTTAAATTTCCATTAACCTGCTCATCCTTAAAATTTGATTATTTATTAAGTATGTATGATAATTTGATGTCATGCATAATTTTACATAAACTAATGGTATCAAAACAAAAATACCTTAGAAATTTCTTAAAAGGTTTTTGTAACGATTCTCTAAAAGTATCAAGTTTCATAATAAAATAGTTATTGAAAAAAAAGTAACAAAATTGCTTGATGTTTATTTTATTTTTCATTTTTCCCCATGGTTCTAAAATTAAACTAAATCATTTTTTTCTATACAAATATAACGTAAACCTATTTAATCTTCAACAATATTATTATAATATTGATGTTTGATTTTATTTGTTAACAGTTATTTAAATGTATAAAAATGATTATAATTTACAAATTAAAAGTTACATTCCTCTACAAATCAAAGTATGTTTTAGTTTAGTCGTTAAGTTTAAAACTTATAAATTTAATTTAATGGTGGTTTTTATTTATTTTGATATTTTGATAAAAATATGTACTTTGTACTAGTTCATATTTTAAAATATTCAATTTTTATTTTTATAAAGATTTATGTAAAATATTTTTATAATTATAATTACAATTTTTTTATATCAATTGTATGTTTTTTGAACTTTGCAAAACTGCAAACTTGCATGATATTTTAACATGCCTAATCAATTTAATCACAATTGTATTATAATAGATTTTTAGTGAAATACTATCATACCCCTGATAATAAGTTTTAATCCGTAAAAGTATTATTATTATAGTATAGGTTAATTTCTATTTTGAGGTATCTTCAATTACAGAACAATATGCTACAACTTATGCTTATTGCTTGATACACCTCATTTATTAATGCTTTTATTTTTATTTAGACCATGATAATAGATGGATGTATAATATTATACCTAATAAATCCTATGATGTGCATTATGGATAGGATATCTTATTTTTTGATATGTATGATGCATTAAACATAGCCTTTACTATCTCAGCAAATTTTTTTGATGGCACACTTGATATTTTTTATAGATTTTTATAGCACACAATGAAATAAATATATTATACATTTTTAAATCACCTATGTTTTTAAGGTAAAATTTATCTGAACAATTTTAATTAACAACATTATACATAAATAATCAAAATRTAAGATAAAAAGTAATATATTATTATTTTAATATGATTTATTTTTAATAAAGATAATTCTTGGAATTGTGAGCATGTGATTTATTACAAGGCTACATTGTTTATCTGGACAATAATTACAATA